TCTGGTTATTGATTTCACTTATCTAAACTGAGCCTAATTATTTTATATTCAATTGTCATCAATCTTGGAACTAGAATTAATAAAGTAGTAAGTTCAAATGCTGAAAGATACCAAAAATGGACAACTGCCATTACGTAAGCCTAATAAATCTAAAGGATAGAGAGGCAGAAGTTGTTGCCCATATCATTGTAATGCAAGCTGATACAGCAGAAGAGAAATTTTATGAACTGTTACCAAAGAAATTGTAGACACTAACACGTTCTTAGCATGCATGAAATGTAGCTTTGGTGATAGATGATAGATAAGTCAGGGAAGGGTAGTACCTAGAGAGACTAAATCTGGGAGAAGTTGGGTGTTACCAATTTGGGACAAGAAGATTGGACAAAATGAATAAAAGATGCATCGCTGTGATGAAGAGTGTCATGGTTCAATTTAGACTAAGAATGGTCAGATTAGACTAAGAGGCATCCTGGCAATGATTTAATAGAAAGTATGACATAGATAGAGTAGAATGCCTCGAGCATTTGTGTCCCGTCACTGAAGCTGGTAAGACAAATGTTTTGTTTAGTGTGTCTGCATGGTTTGCTTATATGGAGAAGACTTATCCCTTGTGAAAGGTAAAAAGCAAGTGCACAGGCATAAATCAGTGAACATAGCTTATTAGGTTTACATATTGTTTCTAGAAGTTGTTAATTCTTTGGCTTCTTGCATAATGGAGTTTCAGAATGTCAAGGGTATTTCAGGCTTTTAAAGACTAGGTAAATATCAAGAGTGTTTCCTTGGTTGTAGGGTTCCTCAATTATTTCTCTTGTTGGGAATTAGTCGAGTCTTTGTGAGAGACTTTGAGTCCTCTTTTAGTCTTGTTTCAGATAGTCTTGTACTCTTGTTTATTTGAGGTTCTGATACACTCTGAAAGTTTTCTAGATCTAAATAAGGTCTATTGCCCTAAATAATACCATAGTAAATGGAGATTTGTATTTCAAGGGTTCAATGAGAACTGGTGCTTTCCTGGTTATTTTCGCCATAATTCCTTCCCTTCTATTTGAACAAACCATAAAATCGTAGGCAATTATTGTCACAGTGTAGTAAATAAGTTATTGTAGCTTGAACTTTTCTGAAATTAGTTTAGGGTATGACATAATTCAAGAATGTGCAAGATCACATGGGATGCATATTCATGTACTTCTAAATTATACGTTATCCCATATTATAATGTATTGGTGGTGTAAATACCTAGACATACCTGTAGATACTTATGTATTTTCATGTAGCCAAAGGTAAATATGCTAATTGCAGGCCATCTTCACACCCCCAAGTCATTTTCTTTTTTAATTTACATACAGTTTTCCTTCTTTCTTCTTGTCAATTTTACTATTCTGCATAAATAACCGTACTAGTTGCAGCCATTATAAAATGTGTAATGCTGTAATAACTTCCGGATTTGGATGCATGCATTAGGGCTAATGGATATCTTAAGCACATTGCAGTGTGATATTGTGCATTTGTGGTGTAAAATTGCATCAGTAGATCTTATACAGGCATGATCGTCTGTATGTGATTGCTCTGCTACATCACATGAACATTATGAGTAATGAAGTCCTATTGGGTCATGTCATTTCGTGTTCATGTCGAGTATTAGTGATGGCGCAGCCATTGGTTGGTTGGACCAATGCAATCGACTTTGGAAGGTTAGGCGAAAGACTAGGAATTTTTGGTCCAAAGGGAAGTGGAATTAGTAGTTTATTATTATTATTTGATTTATGAGTATTTGTTTGACTAGGAGTTTTAATTAGAGTTTAATTAGGAAATTATTATAGAGTTTTAGTAGGATAGGAATTTGAGAGTTTGATTATGAAACTCTTTTAGTATTTTAGTAGGAAAATAGTTTTTATTTTAGTAGGGGACTTGACCTATAAATAATGGTGTAATCCCAACTATTTTTAATTAGAGAGTGATATAATAAAAGTGGTTATCCGTGAAGAATTTATGTGTTTCTTCACCGATTCCTTGCGAGGATGAGGTAAACCCCTTTCACCCCTCTTCTTTCTTCTTCTCTTTCCATTCTGTAATTTCTAGTCTTTCCTTGTGGTTGAAAAGGAAGATTCTAAGGTGCATAATGTTTCTGATGAGCCAGAATTTGAAACAGAGATTGTAGAACCTCTTTATGTGGGTGAGGTTAATTTTGATGATTTGGGTGATGATCATTTTATGGGTGTTTTCCGTCCTCTACTTGTTGCTAATAAAAAAGTTGCTAATGGTGAGTTTATTCATCGAGGAAAAATCTTTCAGAGAAGAGTTTGTTGTAAATGACAGATTTGTTCGTTAGTGATCGACACAGGAAGTTGCACAAATGTGGTATCAGAAGAGGTCGTGAAGAAGCTAAATTTGAAAGTTGAACCACATCCAGAACCATATCATGTAGCATGGATTACTAATACGAAGCTGAAAGTTGAGAAGAGATGTCCAATTACATTCACCATTGGAAGTCTTAAAGAGACCGTCATGTTTGATGTATTGCCTCTCAAGCTTTGTCATATACTTTTAAGGCGCACTTGGATATGGGATCGTGATGCACAACATGCGGGGCGTGCTAATACCTGTTCTTTTGTAATTGGAAGAAAAAAGTATACTCTTACTTGTGCTACAGATGCGTGTACACTACAATTGAAAAAGAGTTCGTTGTTGATTCAGAGAGCTTCTCCATCAGATGGTATTCTTAGCCCTTCTCATTACTCGCCGGAGTCGAGTTCTTTTCAGCAAAGGAGAATTGATGGCGCAGCCATTGGTTGGTTGGACCAATGCAATCGACTTTGAAAGCCTAGGCGAAAGAATAGGAATTTTTGGTCCAAAGGGAAGTGGAATTGGTAGTTTATTATTATTATTTGAATTATGAATATTTATTTGACTAGGAGTTTTAATTAGAGTTTAATTAGGAAATTATTTTAGTAGGATAGGGATATGAGAGTTTGATTATGAAACTCTTTTAGTATTTTAGTAGGAAAATAGTTTTTATTTAGTAGGGGACTTAGCCTATAAATAATGGTGTAATCCCAACTATTTTTAATTAGAGAGTGATATAATAAAAGTGGTTCTCCGTGGAGAATTTGTGTTTCTTCACCGATTCCTTATGAGGATGAGGTAAACCTCTTTCACCCCCTCTTCTTTCTTCTTCTCTTTCCATTCTGTGATTTCTAGTCTTTCTCTGTGGTTGAAATGGAAGATTCTAAGGTGCATAATGATTTTGATGAGCCAGAATTTGAAACAGAGATTGTAGAACCTCTTGATGTGGGTGAGGTTAATTTTGATGATTTGGGTGATGATCATTTTATGGGTGTTTTCCGTCCTCTACTTATTGCTAATAAAGAAGTTACTAATTGTGAGTTTATTCATCGAGGAAAAATCTTTCAGACAAGAGTTTGTTGTAAATGACAGATATGTTCGTTAGTGATTGACACGGGAAGTTGCACAAATGTGGTATTAGAGGAGGTCGTGAAGAAGCTAAATATAAAAGTTGAACCACATCTAGAGCCATATCATGTAGCATGGATTACTAATACGAAGCTGAAAGTTGATAAGAGATGTCCAGATACATTCACCATTGGAAGTCTTAAAGAGACCGTCATGTTTGATGTATTGCCTCTCAAGCTTTGTCATATACTTTTAGGGCGCACTTGGATATGGGATCGTGATGCACAACATGCGGGGCATGCTAATACCTGTTCTTTTGAAATTGGAAGAAAAAAATATACTCTTACTTGTGCTACAGATGCGTGTACACTACAATTAAAAAAGAGTTCGTTGTTGATTCAGAGAGCTTCTCCATCAGATGGTATTCTTAGCCCTTCTCCTTACTCGTCGGAGTCGAGTTCTTTTCAGCGGAGGAGAATTAATGGCGTAGCCATTGGTTGGTTGGACCAATGCAATCGACTTTGGAAGCTTAGGCGAAAGAATAGGAATTTTTGGTCCAAAGGGAAGTGGAATTGGTAGTTTATTATTATTATTTGATTTATGAGTATTTGTTTGCTAGGAGTTTTAATTAAATTTTAACTAGGAAATTATTAAAGAGTTTTAATAGGATAGGGATTTGAGAGTTTGATTATGAAATTCTTTTAGTATTTTAGTAGGAAAGTAATTTTTATTTTAGTAGGGGACTTGACCTATAAATAATGATGTAATTCCAACTATTTTCAATTAGAGAGTGATATAATAAAAGTGGTTCTCCGTGGAGAATTTATGTGTTTCTTCACCGATTCCTTGCGAGGATGAGGTAAATCTCTTTCACCCCCTCTTCTTTCTTCTTCTCTTTCCATTCTGTGATTTCTAGTCCTTCCCGTTCTACGTCAATTAGTCAACCCTAACCAATCTTTTTAATTTATCATGTCAGATGTTCTGACACTAACTTGATCTTTTTAATATCGTGTCATGTTCAAGTTGAACCATATAACACTTGAATTTTAAATGTAGAACTAAGATCCCATTACTTCTCAACCAAACCTACCGCTCATAATTGTTTTACAGACTAAAAATCTATGAAAGTCTATATAACAGCAAAAGCATGGAAAAAAAAATTCCTTCTTTTTATGATATTCCATTCAATACGTGATAAAAATGGCAAAAATGTCATTTTATTTATATTATACCTATTAAACATGTTTATCGTGTGAAATTCAGTTTAGTATCGAAAACTAACATGACATGCTTATTAATTGTGTTAGCAGGTCGTTTCATTTTTGGATTTGTCTCGAGAATTAGTAAACTCTAACCCGCTAATTTTTGTGTTACAGCAGCCTCTTAGAATTTTTACAATTGTTAGCTGAGGCAGAGTCCGTCATTCTAGTTTTTGCCAACCTTTTGAAGGCAGTAACATTTTAAGATTCTTGTGCCCGTGTTTTTGTTCTGGTAAGTGAATCTACTTTGAGTTTGATCTTTGACCAAAATTTCTATCTCAGGATGTCATGTGGACTCTCCTTTCAGACCATGATTGGGTCCGATCCCTCCGGATGATTACATATGGCTTTCTTTTCTATGGGCCTGGTTCTTATGCATGGTACCAGTATCTTGATCATTGCATGCCAAAGCAAACGGTAGAGAACCTTTTGATGAAGGTATAAATCTTGTCCAGTTTTTTGCTTTGTACTTTTCAGAACAAATAGGATCACTTGAGGCAACTTTAAACAATTTCTTATAGTTCCAGTTCCTTGCAGGTTTTATTAAACCAAATTGTGCTTGGTCCATCCGTAATTGCTGTTGTTTTTGCATGGAATAATTTATGTCAAGGAAAGCTCTCAGAGCTTCCAGATAAGTACCTGAAAGATGCACTTCCCACACTATTTGTTGGTAAAACCTGTCTTCTGGAATCTTTAAACTGTCCTGCTCAGTTTGGTTTCATTTCAATGCAAGTTTGATTTTCCTTGTTTTTTTTTTGTTTATATGCAGGATTTAGGTTCTGGATCCCTGTCAGCATATTGAATTTTGGGTACCTCTCTCTCTCTCATTTTTTTACTCCTCTGGATTACTTCCAGTAAGCCCTTGACAATACAACTCCGTCACCAGAAGTCCTGAAATCATGTATCCATTCCTCTTACTAAATAGTCTCAGAAAAGAAAGAAAGAACAAGAAGAAAATAAAACTACACTTGGATCCATATCTATGGACCAAACTTTCTCCATTTAGAACTTGAGCTGATGCATTTAACATACTTATTTCATTGTTATTTGACACAAAAACAACTTCATTTTTCAATAAAGGGTTTAGTGGCCTGGGTTGCTATGTTATTTTGTAAATCTAGTCTGAGGCAGTAACTATCACTTGGGTTGACAAAATCTCTCATGAACTTTAATGAATTTGTTTTACCTCTCCAGCAACCCAAGTCTAACTTTGCGACAATGTTTAAAATATTGTATATTCATCCTTTTTCTTGCCCTTGTACTAGCTCCACCAATCAATTCCACTTCCTGAATTAACTGAAGTTCTTTTTCACTTCTTTAGTTTCTAGGCTATTAACTGAATCTTAATTTCTTCACATCATTGTTGTCATCATCTAATTACCATTTTATGATTGATGAATATGAGAAGGGATGTATTGTCAGAAATAATTTAAGCATACTTTGAAAGTCCATGTTGACGGCTGTGGTACTTTTAAATAATAAGTGGTCTAATTTATCCTATTGCATGGTGTTGCAAGAACTTATTTTTAGATTTGATCAATACTATGATCGTTTACTCCTAATAGCATGGTGAGTGCTTTGCATTTTCATTTCAAACTTTTGTTTTATATTAGGTTCTTTTGTTATGCTGTCTACAAAGAATTTACTTGGAGTATCATCAGTAAAAATGGCCATCTTCACTATTTTGTCCAAAGCAGAGGCAGCTTAGATATTAGATAACTTGCTTTGACAACTTCTGAATGGCATATTTTATAGGGTAGTTCCTCTTCAAGCCCGTGTTGCTTTCATGTCCATGGGTTCTATATTCTGGAACTTCGTCCTGTCTTCAACTATGAGCAATTAACCTCTGCTGCTAGAGTTCTGTCCATACTATTACTACATTATGGTTTGAGCAAGGCAGGTATCCCTCTCTTGTCAATACCTTTTTCATGGCGTGAGCTTGTCTGATTTATTTTCTGATGTGAGCTTATCTGTTTAACTTGTAGGCTTAAAATTGGGCAGACATCTGGTCAAAACAAACGTGGAGCTCAGGAGCCACAGTATAAATCTTCCTTTATGTCGTATTCCTTGTTCAACAATTTAGGTGTATTGATTCATCTTATATCTTTAAAGTGCTCCGTGTTCAGCTCTGTATTCTTAATCTTGAAATCTATTCTATCTTCCCCCTTTTTTTATGAAATCAGTACCATCCAGAAATGAACGCGTGGCAATTTGATATGTTTACTGTTAACTTCCTATCCATTGGTAGGGTTTTCACCCTACCTTACGGATAGGAAATAAAGTCTTATGCATTCCTACCCGATATTTTGTAGAAGAATTTTTCTTGGTCTACCGTATCCAATCAAATGTAGTATTTCTATCCAACTTTTGGTCGAATTAATCGGGTAGGAAGTCGGATAAGCACTTTTGTAGTTATTAATTTTTGAATTATTTTAACAATTCAATTAAATAACATGGATTAATTTAACAAGACTTCAAATCAATAACACTAAAACCTAAAGCAACTATAACAATTACAATAAAACACAAGAAAACATAAACATTAATCTATCATAATTGTTATACAAATACAATAATAATTATTTTAAACTTCAACTATATGAAATACATTAAAATAATAATTATTCTAATAGATTATCAGTTTACTACAAATCATGTAATTTACACAAAAAAAAAGTCTATGTTTTACTAACTCAAATATCTACGACAATAACAATGTTATAATATAAATACCGTTACACCACACAAATACTCTTAGTTTTCTTGCTAGTGTCATTTACCTTTCTTCACTCGAGCAATTTTATAATATAAATACTCTTATATCACGCAAATACTCTTAACTTTCTTGCTAGTATCATTCACCTTTCTTCACTCGAGCAATTTTATAATATAAATATTCTTATACCACACAAATACTCTTAACTTTCTTGCTAGTGTCATTCACCTTTCTTCACTCAAGAGCATTTGCAATTTTCTCTATAATTATTTCTGAGATAAAAAAGAGTAAGGAAAAGAAATAGATACGAAGAACTCATCAACAAATAATAAAAAAAAAATAACAAGAAGAGTATAAAAAACTGAATATAGTTTATAGCTTTTTGAATCTTCCAAAACATCTTCAAAGTCATAAGTAATGGATGACAATCCAAGCCAATTTTGTGCACATATGAGATGGGTGTCAGACAACTCCGAAAAGGATCTAAAATACGACCTTTAGTGCTGAAAGTCGATTCTAATGCCACCGTAGAAATGAGAATATCTAATACACCACGAGCTATTTTGGCAAGGATCGATAATTTATAATAATAAACCTTCCATCAATTCAAAATATCAAAATGACACTAG